AGCCTGTCATGGTTGCTAAACCAGGGGGCTGGGTGAGGGGCTGGTCCCTTCACTGTACTTGTTACATAGACTCTCTGGGTCTATAGATTGTACTGTGATTATTCTTTACTTATCAGCCAGTAACTACTTATAAGCAAGTACATATCATGTTTGTCTATGTAATTCTGGATTGCTGCACTCAGAAAAATAAATCAATAAATGAGAAATCCACAAGCCAAATAATCCAATATAAAATGGGGTACAGATATAAATAGAAAATTCTCAACAAAGAAATCTCAAATATCAGGCTGGAGGGATAACTCAGTCATTAAAAGCTAAGTTCACAACCAAAAATATAAGAAAGCTCAAATGTCTGAAAATCACTTAAAGAAATGTCCAACATCCAAAGCCATCATGAATGTACAAATCAAAACTACTTTGAGATTTTATTTTAAACCTGTCAGATTGGCTGGAGAGATGACTCAGAGGTTAAGAGCCCTGGCTACACTTCGAGAGGACCTGAATTCAATTCCCAGAAACCACATAGTGGCCTCATAACCATCTATAATGAGAACCACTGTATACATAATAAATAAATAAATAAATCTTTAAAAAATAAACCTGTCAGAATGGCTAAGATCAATAACACAAATGACTGCTCATGCTGGCAAGGATGTGAAGCAAGGGGAACACGTCTCCATTGCTGGTGGGAGTGCAAATATGTACAGCCACTATGGAAATCAACAGAGCATTTACTCAGATAAGTTGGAATCCATCTACCCCAAGATCCAGCTATACCACTCTTTGAGATGTACCCAGAATATGCTCTTCCATCCTGCCACAAGGACAGTTGTTCAAATATGATCATAGCAGTTTTACTCATAATAGCCAGAAACTGATATATCTGTGAGAGATGGTTCCTGGTTTTGTTTTTCATAATTTAACAAATTCCCTTTAGATGCTTTTCTTTTCTTTTATTTAAATTAGAAACGTGCATGCTTCAAATGTCAACCCCAGCTCCCCCCCTTGTCCCTCCACCAGCCCCACCCCCACCCCCAGCCCAATCCCCACTTCTTTCCCCAGGGAGGGTGAGGCCCTCATTGGGGGGATCTCCAGAGTCTGTAATTTCATCCAGGGAAGGACCTAGGCCCTTCCCCATGTGTCCAGGCTGAGAGAGCATCCCTCCATGTGGAATGGGCTCCCAGAGTTCATTTGTATGCCATGGTGAGCACTAATCTACTACCGAAGGCCCCAGAGATTTCTGAGGCCTCACTGACATTACATTCATGGAGTCTGGATCAGTCCCCTGTTGGCCTCTCAGCCATCAGTCTGGGGTTTAGGAGCCCTCCTTGTCCAGTCAGGTGTCTTTGTGGGTTCACCAGCACGGTATTGACCCCTTTGCTCATCACTCCTCCATCTCTGTCACTGGGTTTCAGGGGGGTCAGTTCAGTGTTTAGCTGTGAGTATCTGTCTCTGCTTCCATCAGTCTCTGGTTGAAGGTTCTAGGATGTCATATAAGGTAGTCATAAACTTTATCATCAGGTAGGGGCTATTAATGTAATCTCTCTGCTATTACTTAGTTTTCCAGTTGGTGTTATCCTTGTAGATCTCTGGAAATCTCTCTAGTGTCAGCTCTCTCCTCAAACCTATAATGACTCCAACCATTATGGTATCTCTCATCCTGGTCTCCTCTATTCTTTCCCAGACTCAACCTTCCTGCTCCCCATGTCTTCTTCTCCCCTTCTCTTCTCCCCTTCTCTTTTTCCTGGTTCCCTCTTCCCTCCCCCCATGTTCCCAATCTGCTTAGGAGATATTGCCTCTTTCCACTTCTCTGGGGTGTAATGCTTATCTCTTGGGAATCTCCCTGTTTCCCAGACTCACTGGCCCTGGGATTGTAGGCTGACACTGCCCTGATCCATGTCTAAAATCCATATATAAGTGAATACATACCATGTTTCTCTTTTTGTGACTGGGTTACCTCACTCAGAATGGTTTCTTCTAGTGACATACATTTGCCTGCAAATTTCAAGGTTCCATTGGTTTTTTTTTCTTCTGAGTAGTACTCCATTGTGCAAATATACCACATTTTATCTGACCCCTCTTCAGTTGTGAGGCATCTAGGTTGCTTCCAGGATCTAGCTATTACAAATAATGCTGCTATGAACATAGTGGAACAGACATCCTTGTTGTAGATGCTCTTTTGTTGTTCTGAAGTCTTGCTGGGATGCCAATTAGTCAGGAATACATCTGAACCCATGATCCTCATGTTTCAGTCTCCTGAGTACAATTCCATGGATGTACCCACAACTTGTGCTGATTGTCAACCTGTTTTAACAATGTGGATGTTAAAATGTTTAGTAGAAGAGAATATAAGAAACTTTAAATATCTCCAAAGCAGCATTTTCATCTCTTTGGTAGAAATGTCATATAGTAGGATACTCAGCGGTCAACTGTATATTTCACAACATAGCTTGATGTGCTATGGACACGTGTATATTGTAGATGTTTCCTGTGTCCTCCTGTCTCCACTAGTCATCCACTTGTCACTTCATCTCAAAGTACTGCCTTCTAAGATAATTCTCACGAGATATCAGATAATGTAAAGGCAATGTGACTTTTTAAATTTCTATTGTGTGTGTGTGTGTGTGTGTGTGTATGTGTGTGTGTGATGTGATTATGGGTTTTTAGGCCATGACAGATATGTAGAGACAGGTAGACACCTTTGTGGGGTCTGCTCTTGTCCATCTTCATATGGTGATCCAGATGAGGTAACCAGCCTTGCTCACAGCAGTCATTTCCCAGAGAACTGTCTCACTGATAGTCAAATAACATTACATCAGTAAAACACTGTCTTCTTTCAGATTGGGAACATATTTTCATTTAAGAATAGAGGAAAGCAGGACAATTTAAAAAATAAATCCTATTTGCAAATGAAAATGATATACTGTTATCACTTCTGTTTTTAGGAATGTGCTGCTGGTATTCTGGGGACTAAACACATGCTCATAACACTTTCTCAAAACCACAAATGAATGTTAGAGAATAGTATCAGTTTGTAAGGTTGATGACCTGAGTTCCATTTCTGGAAGACCCATATTACACTGTGGGAACACCAGACCTTGAGCAGAGACCCACTTCCCCTTCTACCTGGGAGTAGGCAGCTGTAAGACAATGTTTAGTAAAAACATGTTTACTAAAAACGATACAATAAGTTCCTGGCCACTTCCCCTTCTGCCTGGGAGTAGGCAGCTGTAAGACAATGTTTAGTAAAAACATGTTTACTAAAAATGATACAATAAGTTCCTGGGAAAGGCCTTCCCACGGAAACCGCCCTGACCTCGACCTTGTCCAGAGACTAACCGCACCTTCAAAAACCCACACACATCCACCTCTGGGTCAGAGCAGAACCAGCCAGGGTAGAGGAGAGAGCAGAAGCTTCTCTGGTGGGAGCTTTTCTTAGGAAGTTTTCTTGAACCTTTTTGGAGCCTGTTTAAAGTTTTCTTTACATCGTTTAACAAGTCTCTGTGTTGTCAATCCCCGACACCCTCCGCACGTTCTCGGACACAGGCCGCGCAACAGACGTGACATTACACCTACAAATTTTTCTCTACACTTTGGCAGTGGCATATGCACACTCTGATACCAGAACATACAAAAATAATTTTTAGGCACAAATAAATGCCATTGAGGTGAGTAGCAGTCAGATTGATTTGTGGGTCTCATCTCTAGAACTCACATAGGAGAAGTGGACAATAGGCCCTGTCATCTTACTGCGACACACACACGATGGCACAGGTACATATACATGCAAACATAGTTCAAACATTTTTAAATGGATGAAGTTAACAAAGCAAAGAAAATAGTCCAATTATTGAGAACAGATGAGATGATTTGTCAATTTAAATTATTATTATAAAATTTCAAGAAATATTAATGCCCATCAAAATATTAATGGTTCCTTTTTAAATCTTATTTTATCATTTAATTCTCTGATTCTGTTGTGCCCAAATTCTGAACCCCAAAATCACCAAGAGGCCCATTTTGATGCAAAAGCAAAGAGTCTCTTATTGTACTTGTTTAATGAGCTAACCCCATTAGTTCGAGCCTTTCATCCATTCACTGAAGCAGATGGCTAGAGAAAGATCCAGAGAAACCACAAGGCTGGGATCCTAAGGGACAGCATAAGGGGAGTGTCTACGGGTATGCAACAAGCTCAGGATTGGTGCTCTTCCAGGTTTGGACGACCTGCCCTGTGTTGATTGGTCAACTGGTTGTTATGGCCCATAGGCCCTCCCATAGCAGTTGCTATGCTCTGTGTATCACTGTTGTGCACTTGTCCGTAAACCACACCCAGAGCCATAAAGCACAGCCCCGCCAGCTAACTTCTGATTGGTTCCTTACCACAGGGTTTCTGACCTCCTAGTGACCAGGATAGGAGGGGCAAGGTCATGCAAGCACATGTTAGCCTGTCATGGCTGATAAACTAGGGGAGGGGATGATGGTCACTTCAATTCAAAGATAAGTCATTTTAAAAACATTTCTCAGTTGAGCTTAGAGGTGTATGTGTATAATCCCAACTCTTGAGAGACAGCGGAATGTCAATCTCTCTAAGTTTGAGATCAGCCTGATTCCTCCAGCCTTCCAGAAAACTGTTTCTGAGACAAGCTCTCCTATGTGACCAATAACAACATGCATATAAAAAAATTAAATAAACATTTAAATCTCAGCATCCTAATCCCTAACAGGCCTGCCTGGTTCACAAGCTACTTATCTCTGGGGTATTTTAGAGGCAGCTCTCTCCCTTAGATAAATTCTCCCTCGAGTGACTCTTCCAAGCATTGGTTGTAGTGACCAGCCCCCCATTTTAGCAGCCATGACATGAAAGGCTACCATGTGCTTGCATGACCTTGCTGCTCCTGTCCTGGTCACTAAGGTCAGATGCCCTCGTGGCAAGGAACCAATCAGAAGTTAGCTGGCAAGGCTGTGCTTTACGGCTCTGGGTGTGCTTTACAGACAGTGTACAATGGGCCTCTTGGTGATTTTGGGGTTCAGAATTTGGGCACAACGTCGTAAATCCTTTATATCCCAAATTCCACTGTTCTGCATCACAGTTTAGCATAGAGTGCTATCCAGTACATGAGATGCCATTTACCACCTCCACAAAATTAACTCCAAATGGATCTTGCACCCAAATGTGAAATGTGACATGTAGAACTTCTGGGAGAGTCTTGAGAAACTAGGCCTCACTGAGTTTGGCAACCTGCCCAGGCCTTGGGAGGTTTCTCAACGGCACTGAGGTAAAGAACAAAACCAGATCTCCTCTAAATCTGGGAATACTGGGAGAGTTGGTGAAGGGGAGGGGTTGTTTCATATCATATCCCGAGAACCCAGCTCTTTCTACGCGTGCTGCTGTGGTTATCAGTGCCATGGCCACTGTGAACTTTGTTTATAATGTTCCTGACGTACCCTGCATTCCTCTTGTGCAACATCTGGTTAGTCTCTTCCTGGGTTTGTGTACTTCCTTTTAAAACTGACCCATTGATCTACACTAGCCAGAGACCTATTAAATCTAGTGCAAACCTCCAGTCCATCTGGGATAGGTCTGTGCTTAGCCAGGAAGGCAGGACTGAGACCCACTATGCTGTGTTCCTGAGGCTCACCGGTTCCCCACGGGGAATTATTCCTGTCACTCAGGCCTCACCAGCCAATCAGGATCTCCACAAGACCCGTCAGTCAGATGGGAGGGTTCTTCCGTTCGCCGGATTTCTGGCTCAGCCCCTCCCACTGCGGAAGTCGGAAGCTACTCGGTTGCGCTGTGCCGTGGGCTTTGCTGTGGAGAGAGCGTGTGAGCTTGACCGCCTGGCCATCGTGAGCGAGGGGCTGCTGCCCACAGACGCGGAGGAGGAGTGTCCGGCCATGGTGAGCAAAGGGCTGTTGTCCCCAGACGGGAGCGCGGTGTGGCGAGTCCTTCCCGGGCCGGGTGGGAGCCCGACGCAGAGTTCACTGTGGTCCTGCCCGTCCCGTGCGGTCCTGCGTGGTCCTTTACGTGCGTGGGCCCGGCGGGCCGCAGCCTCTGAATACTTCGTTATACCGGCTGCGTCTGAGCAGGACACTGGGAGCCGGACTGCGCTTAGAGATAGCCTTGCTGGGGTCACGTTGAAATGCTGTGCCTGTAGTGCCTACTGTCACTGTGGAAGGCAGATTTGCCAAACTCGGAGAGCCCCGGTCTCCTAGTGTTTTCCAGAAGTTCTGCAGGTTTAACGTTAACATTTAGGTGTAGAATCATTCTGGAGTTAATGCTGTGAAGCTTGTAAGCGGTGTCTCCTGTGCAGAGTAGCACTCACCTGCCCAACTGCCATGAAGAGGAATAGAATTGATGGCAATAGAATTGATGGTAGGAGGGTTTACTCTCTCTCTCTTTTTTTTTTTTTTTTGGTTTTTGGAGACAGGGTTTCTCTGTATAGCTATGGAGGCTGTCCTGGAACTAACTCTGTAGACCAGGCTGGCCTCGAACTTACAGAGATCTGCCTGCCTCTGCCTCCGGAGTGCTGGGATTAAAGGCATGAGCCAGCAACACCCGGCGGAATTTACCGATTCTTAGGGAACATTAAGTCACATAAAATAGAATTTAGCTAAGGGAGTACTGACTCAAATACCTCTAAGATAAGTAGTGTGCTAAACCTGTAAGAGATTAGTGTCATAAGATGTAAATATTTTCCCCCCAGGATTAGACAGCTATTAAGCTATATTCCCATAACAAAAGAGACAACCCTGATTTACAAGCAGCCACCCCACCCCACCCCATCAAAGAACGGGCTTCTCAAGAACATGCTGCTCAAGGGGCCATTACAGGGTCACAGCCAACATTAAGTCCTGGTGTGCTATAAAGTTGCATTCGTTCTGGAACAGCTGCATCTCCAGTCCTTTTGAAAAGTGGTTTTGAGTCAAGGTCTCCATTGTTGATTGAGGTGGACTTGAACCCTGTGCCCCACAGGGCATTGCCCTTGCTATACCCCTGACTAGTCACCCTAAATCCCTAGATTACAAGTCTGTAGCACCACAGAGTTCTAAAATAACCAGTTTGAGTCACATAGTGCACTGTCCATTGCAGTAACAGGAAAAGAACTTGCATATGGAGTGTGGCTTCTCCCTTCAGAGCAGAAGAGGAGGAACAGTTACCGTGTACACTGCAGGGGAAAGAGACTAGGCAATACCTAGACCACAGACTGAAGGTTAAGGCAGTGAGCTGCAGGGTGAGTGGCTTTCTGTAGAATTTCCCTGCATGTATTAAATCTTTCCATGTGAATAAAGACAGAATTGATGGGTGTACAGTTCAGGGAGGGTGGCTTGAACTACTGAGTATTCAGTTTCCAGTTAACTCTCGTATGCAGATGTGTACAATCAATCCTGGGTGAAGCAGTTAAGCTGGATCAGAAGTTTGAGATGCAGGCCACTAGCTGCAAATCTGTGTCACTTACAGCCCTCAGCAGCTGACATTTTACATGGGACAAAGTCATGCAATGTCTTATTAATGGTATTCTTTCTACCAGAGAAGTGCCTACTGTTTCCTTAAGTGACATTTATTTATTTATTATCAGTTTAGAGGAGTGGTTCTCAGTGTGGGGTTGGAGGGCATCCTTTTGGGGGATCAAATCGCCCTTCCACAGGAGTTGCCTAAGATCGTTGAAAACACAGATATTGTTATTACAAGTCATAGCAGTGGCAAAATTATAGTTATGTAGTAGCAATGTAAGTAATTTTATGGTTGGGTCACCAGAACATGAGAAACTATATTAAAGGGTTAACACATTAGGAAGGTTGAGGACCACTGGTTTTGATCAATGTCTCCTGTAGCTCAGGCTTGCCTCACACTATGTAATTGAGACTTGCTTTGAACACCTAATTCTGCCTCTGCTGCGCATGGATGGGAAGACAGTCCTGCAACTGCTTCAAGTCTGGGCCTTGACTAGTCAGTGAGAGGGAAAAATAGACCAGTGAATGAGTATCCAATCTCTCTGGCTTTTACTGGGGACTTACAAACGAAGAGAAGCCTCTGTAAGAATTGAGTTTTCTGAGCAACTGTCAAGCGAGTGTAGTCACAGCACAGAAAGGGATGGGCAGGAAGGAGGGTGGAAGCTTTCCTGCTGTGATGGTGGTTGACGTTAGCAATGAGTAGTGAGTAATCAATATGTGATTGACAAATGTGCTGACTGGCCATTTCTCAGATTCATAGACCAGCAAATCAAGAATGTGGATAGAGAACTGAATTTATTGTAAAGCCAAACTACTGTAGTTATACTAGTCCAACCAAAATTTAAGAACAGGACAAGGAGCTGGAGAGATGGCTCAATGGTTAAGAGCATGACTGCTCTTCCGGAGGTCCTGAGGTGAAGTCCCAGCAACCACATGGTGGCTCACAATCATCTCTAATGGAATCTGATGCCATCTTCTGTCGTGCAGACATTCATGCGTACAGAGCACTCATATACATAAAATGCATAAATAAATAAATCTATCTAGAAAAAATCAGGATAAAATGGCATGGCCCTGCCTCATAACAGGACTGTTATTTTCATGGTTTAAGATGTTCGGTATGAGAGAAATGTCATGAGTGTCCTCTAATGCAAATCTCTGTTCTCTGCATCACATGGCCATGAAGCCTGCTTCAACTTTTAAAAATAATTTTGGGAGATTATAGTTACATCATTTCCACCATTTCATCCCTGCCTTCAAGCCTACATTGTTTTCTAATTTATGGCTTCTTGTTGCTTTAAGAACTCTTAATGTTTGAGTGGGACCTGTGTCTGGCTACAGGACTTCCCAGCTATGAAGCAAGGGTTGGCTGCACTGATCATTGGGTGGGTAATGGAATTTGCACCCAAAGGACCATGTGCCTTGGAAGAGGAACAGGAAGTGCTCTGGGAGATTCTACTAAACTACAGCTTTCCCAGACTAGGGCCCTGTCTGCTGGGGTAAAAAGGCAGAGCTGGGAAGGCCTGTGCTGTCTGAGTCATTTGAGTTCTGCTCACTCCCAAACTTTCATCTGTATAAAGGAGGAAAGTTGAGGTGGGATCTAGGAGAGGTAGCATGTGCTGTGCGCTGTTAGGAGGGCATCCTACAGTAAACTGAAGTAATGGCAGACAGCGGCTGGGGGGTGGGGGGCCCTTTGGGGGTCCCTTTGGCTGCCTGGTACAGGGGCTTGGCGGTAATGGCCAAGTTATGGATCCAGTGATGGAGAATCCATCAGGCCCAAGAATGAGAGAATCTGATCCTCGGTGGCCAGGGCTGTAAATCCCACAGGACTTGGACTCTGTCAGAGGTGAGGTTCTTAGACCCTGGGCTGAGTTGATGCTCAAATACAGCATAGTGGGAAGCTGAGGTAGTCTAGATGCAAAGAGGTAGTGACCAATTGGGACAGAGGCAAGGAGGGCTGCTGAGACAGAGGTCATCTACATATTAGAGGAGTGTCTAGGACTGTGATCAAAGGTGGAAAGATCCCAAGCCAAGGCTTGGCCAAAGAAAAGAGGTCTGTCCCAGAAACACTGAGGGAGAACAGTCCATGTAAGCTGTCTGGACGAAGGGTTGTCAGGGTCCTCCCAGGTGAAGGCAAAGAGGAAGTATGAGTCAGAGTGTAAAGGCACGGTGAAAAACGCTACTTTCAGGTCCAGGACAGCCAAGCGGGAGGTTGCAGGGGAGTTGTGAGAAAGGAGGTGATATGAGTTGTTAACCACCCAGGTTTTTTTGGAATAACTGCATCATTGATGAGGCAGAGGTCTTGAACTAAATGGTGAGCACTGGAGTGCTTATGTACAGGAAGAATGTGGTGCTGTAGGGTGAGTTGATTGGAATTGAAAGTCCCTGAGATAAAAGATGGGTGATAATGGCCTAAGGCCTCGGTGGTGGGTTTGAGCAATAGGAAACTGGGAGGGAAGGAAGAGGGACCATTACAGTGAACTAGAACTGGCTGGTGGTGACTAACAACCACCGTGGTTGAGGTATCCCATACTTGGGGATCTACTAGAGTCAGGGGGGTAGGGACAGGACAGCCTGGGATAGGAACCTGTGAGGCTATTAAGGGGAGAAGAAGGTGGGCATCAGGAGAGAATGTGGGGGCCAAGGTGAGTGTGGCCTCAGAGCAGCTGAGAATAGCATGACCAAGTGGATGTACAGGGCATGCTGATAGAAAAGAATGTGAGAAGAATCGTCCTGCAAGAATGCAGGGAAGTGACAGGATCTCAAGTGGAAAGGAGGGTGGTCCCATCTACTCCAGTGACTTGGAATGAGCAACTTAACAGATCAGCAATCCAGTCTAGTGGAGAGTGGGTGTAAGGAAAGACTGTTGCTCCCACATTGCCGAGGGCGGATGGGGAAGGCTCAGCTCCCCAGCCAATGAATGCACCATGATGAAAAGTTTCTGTACGCTGATACTAAGCCTCTCTGCCAATGCAGTAACCCAAACCAAGCCAAATTAAGAATTAAAAGTCCAGGTTTAATGAGTAAATGCTCCTGGATGGTTTTTTTCAGTCCCCAGAGAGGAGACTGAAAAATCACATGATAGTTCTCTAGGGGGAGTTTAAATACCCTGTAGGTTTGGTCTTGAACATCTCCCTGGGAGGAGCTGCTGGTTGGCAGGATTTTTGAGATGGGGCAGGGTTTGGAGCTGGGGAGGGGGATGCTACCATGGAGCTATCATCTGAGCATTTTTTTTTCAAAGAACCAACTCTTTCATTTATTCTTTGTAGTGTTCTGTTTTTCTGTTTTATTTATTTTAGCCCTCACTTGGATTGTTTTTGATGTCTACTCCTTTCCGGTATGCTTACTTTGTAGTGGGAAATTTATTAGAGCTATTATACCTGGTGTAAACTCCGGAGTGATTGCTCACCTAGTCTTTGTAGTAATCTTTTTAAAATAATCAGTGA